AATTGAAAGAAAAAGTTGCAACATAATAATTTAAATTTCTAAAAAAAAATTCAAATTCAATTTTTTAAAAGAACAAAAAAAAATAACTTAAAGATTTTTTAACAATAAAAAGCAAACCTTATCACATACAAAATCCAAGTATGAGAGAGCCCATGATTCTTCACTATCTTCCAACCAAAGTTTGATCCTCGGCACTGAACCTAATGAAGCTGAATTGGGTACCTATAAGAGAGTAAATGTTATCAATAATATTTCAACTTTTTTTAATTCGTCTTTTTTTTCAAAAAAAAAATCTTAATTCCCTCTATAAGGTAAGATTTCCATTCTATCCATCGCTAATAAATCTTCCAATGTGATGAGAAAAAAATGAGCCTAGAAGGTGGGGAGGGATATTAGTAAAACTAAGTCCGCAAAATAATTTTGTTCCAACTTCCATTAAATCTTCAATTTTGCTTTTTCCTTTTTTTCTCTTTTTTTTAAAGATAAAAAAGCGAATTAAAAAAACCCGTTTAGCCATGTGTAATTGTTCCTGTTTGAAAGTTGAATACTGGTACCATAAAATCAGGAACAAGAGGTGAATGTTTCCATGAAATCAATCGTGTGGTACTCCTATTCGCAGAAGTAGCCATTTTCAGGTGGGGGAAAGGCTCGTGTACGTGGACAAATATACCACTGTAACCTAATCAATTCATTAAAATCAATTAAATTCAAAAAAAAGAGGGAGAGAGAGTGAGAGAGTGAGAGGGACAGAGATGGTGAACAACTCATTCTTTTTTCTTTTCCTTCTAAACCATTGGGAAGAAAAAAAATCAAAAAAAGACCGAAAAAAATTTCAAAAAAAAAAAAATTCAATGGAAAGTTGAAATTGAAAATGTACAGAAATGAAAAACTTTTTTGTCGAAATTTAGTGAAAAAAAAAATTATAAATTCCAACTTTGTTTGATTCATTTCCATAATATTTTCCAAAAGCGAAAAGCACAAAATAAGCAAAGAAATTCTGAAAAGTTACCACAATATGGCTGTTAAATTTTCATTCCTTTTTTTTTCTTCTCTTTATTGTTTTTCCTTTCATACTTTGAAAAAAAATTTAATTTGCTTGTTTTTTATTTTATTTTCCTTATCATTTTTGCAAATTTCGATTTTATTAAATATACTAGTTGTGTGTTAAATCATTGGAAATCCTTTGTTTCTTTTTTTTTTTTTCAAAACTTTCTCTCTCTTCTCGATATCATACCTCACTGGTCGCATTGATAATCAGCGTGATGTTGTATTCCTGAATTGTTGATGCTTTCAGGGCACAAATTCCACTAATATACAAACCCGGTAGAACTTCCGAAATTCCCGCATGACTGACGTCCAATACACGATAGTATACCAAACGTCCGGGTGATTTATTAGCAGCCATAATTAATTTGGAATAAGTATAATTTAGCACTTCTTAATTGTTCCTAAAATTTTGATAATACATATAAATTAAAATTTATTACTATTTCAAGAAATCTCTAATATTCACGTAACACGTAAAGGTAAAATTTTTAAACAAAAAGGAAAAAAAAAAGAGATATTTCACAAATGAAGATGTAAGCGACAAATGTTAAAAGTTGTCATTAAATAAGAAACATTTCATTTGATGACAACTTTTAATGTTTGTCAATTCTTCATTTGTGTGTAATTCAATCAGAATAATTCAGAAATGAAAAGGTATGACAAGTATGATGTCTTTATTCCGCTCTTATTAATGGAATAATTAAAAGCAGCTGCAATTCTAATCAACGCAACA